GTGCTGTTCTGCAGGAGTCCAAGATTGATGAAGACCTTCCTAAGAAGTTGGTGTTAGTGGAATTTCGATCTCTCACTGTGACCGCACCTCCCAAAACCAAACCAAAGCAGATGCCAGGCAACGGCTACGCAAAGAACTACAAATGTTTCCGCAAGGTCAGATTACGACGCACCCTCGACAAGCCTCAGTTGAAGACCACAAAGCACAAAAACAAAATTTCAACAAAATTTGCCCCATATACAGGATCATTGTCTTTCTTTTTCTTTGTTTTGTTTTTATGTGTTTGAATTTCCTTGTGTGCCTGTTTTCAGAGCCGAGTGCCGGGTGCAGAGGGCTCACCCCACTTCATTGGACGGTCTGATCTGCTGGTTCACAACAAGGGCAAGAACTCTGATCTGGATGAATGGCTGAAAGATGCGGCTGAGGTAATTCTTGTAGCTCTCAGTCTGTCTTATCTGTCTGTCTCTGCCTAAGCTCTCCATTCATGATTTGAGCCTGTGTTTACTTCAGGAGGAGCGACAGAGCAGACGGGACGAGACTGTAGGAGATGACCTCTTCAGGTGAGAAAGAGATTCTCATTTTCTGTCAGAAGGTGTGAGGTAACTTTATTATTCCCCTTCACAGCTTCCTTCCTTTATATTAAAGTTAAATTAGTATATTTTATTTTCTCTCAGACATTGAAATTTGGGTAAATAACACCTTTAATTTTGTATTAGAACTCACTCTGTCCCTCCCTGAGGATGTATGATAGTCAAAATAGAGATTCAACAAAGTCTGTACAGCCTCAGTCATTATAATCAGGTGCAGACAACATAATTAACTGAGAATTATGGACATGGGGCCTTTGTAGCTTCAGTTTAACCAATCGGGACGTAGTAATTCTTCCGTCACAGCGGTTACCAAGGAAACAGGTGATGTAAGCTGCCGCTGCTGCTGTCGCCACTGCTATGTTTTCTTTGACTAAGCAGAAAAGAGTCTGAGATTGATTGTGTGTGTGTGTGTGTCCGTCCATATGTGTGTGTGCGTGTGTGTGTCAAGGCTGAGCTGTTTGATCACTGAGTCATGCTCAGTCAGTCATGCGTAGCCAGGGAACAGACCCTGCCTCTAAGAAAACAATCCGTTTAGACCTACCAAAAAAATACCGAAGTTTCCAGACGTGGTTTATAGGAAGCCTGTTTGCTTTAACCTGTTCAAACACTGTCCATGTTTTATAGCGCTTAATTTGGGCTGGTTTTATTGTTTGTTCAAAATGCCTCTAAGGACATTGAGGAATGATCCATGAGGAATGTTAAAAGCCCATCCTGTCATGGACCAACCTTTGAGATAAACTCTTTTTGTGTGTGCCTGTGTTTAGGTACAACCCCACCAAACTAACCAAGAGAAGATGAAATGCCTTCATCTTGAAGTCCTCCAGTGGGAATTCATTGCAGAGACACAGGAAGTATGTCAAACCCCATCAACCCAATATGAGAAGGACTCCAGAATTAACTTCATATATAATCTGTATCAGCATTTTAACTATAATGTTGACAGATACAACATAAAGTTAATGCTTCATATACGCTAAAATAATCAGAAATGTTTCCCAATGTCAGTTTTCTGTTCTTCCTGTTCTATCTAAGAATATCTTTATATAACTGATTAAACTACTGACAGCAAGCAATGTAACAAAACAGTCTCATGTTCAGAGATTTTTCTCAGTTTTTATTTGTCAATAATAAAAAATACGGCATACAAAACATTAAAAACTCTTCAATTGTACAAGAGAGCATTAAAGCTCTACATGCTGAAAGCAGCTTCTCCTTTGTTTTGAAGTTAAGACCAAATGTGTTCCCTGGTTTTAGCTGAACTAGAAACTTGAGGTGGATTCAAGTGTTACAGTGTCTTAAAACGATCTCCGATGAGCCAACCCTTCAGGCACTTTTACAGATCTGAAACTGTTCAGATAAGTAGTCGTCATGCCAAACATCTGTTGGCCTGTCTGTGTAGATAGTTGAAATCCACATGTCCCTTCATATTCACAACAAGTGCTATGTACAAGTTGAGTGTTAACTCAGCGTTAAGCGTAAATTGTGCAGTAATAAAAGTCATGAGCAGCAGAGTGGCCAAAAGACATTTGGAGACTGGCCTTGAAACACAGTTGCTTCCTCTAAATTTCAACAGGATTATTTTTGCTTACTACTTGACTACGTACTTGCAAGTTGCTTTCTTGGATGGGTACCAAATAAACCTGTCAGTGCTTTATTAAGCAACCAGATTTTCTCTCTGAGTTGGTAGCAGTGGACAGGTGTGTCCGACCTGAAAGTAACAAGGTCATGTTTTTAATCTTTCCTTAAGTAAATTCAAAATAATAAGAGTTAACGCCACTTTTGAGTCACTCAGTCTCCTCTGCAGTCCTGTTTTTAACGTACTGGTTAAAACTCTTATCACGTCCGTCCTTATAGCACTTTTCTTTCTTCTGCTCAAAGCAGCTGCTGCTAGGCAGTCGTTCATGCCTACATGCATATATTTAATGTTTATATCAAAACAATATTCAAAAGTCAGTGAAAAAAAGCATCAAGGAATAATTCTTTGATTGAAAATCAGTATTTAACACAAGTAACAAGATTTCCATTAGTTAACTCTTATATGATTACCAAAACTTAAACAGTAATGTGTTAAACTACCTTGTTAGTGGAAAAAGCAATGTGACTACATACATTATTTAGTAATGTTTCACCACTAACACTGACTCTGTCTACTATATTGTATGAAGGGGGCAAAAGAAGAATTTCCCTACACAACGATCAAAGTGTCACATCACAATAAACAAACCTTGAGCTGTGCTTGAGTGGCACACAAAAAAAAAGATTCATATGGCAACACACTCTTGCAGACAGCGTTTAAATGACTGAAAGGAAGCAATCTGTAGCAGAAATTTAAAATATATTGCTACTGTCATTGCTCATAACCTCTCTAAACTGTTATTTGGCACTTAACAAAACAGTAGTCGTTTACAGTAAAGGTGTATCAAAAAATGGTCGAAGAATTTATAGATACACACATACAGTGTGGGGTGATATGGAAATAAAAATAGTTCAACAAGTCAGCATGAATTGGAAAATTACCTGTGAGCTTGCCTTGTTGGTGTGTCTCAGAAACAGTTATGGAAGAAATCTGACTTGGTAATTGCTTTGTAGAGTAATATAAACAAAGTTGCGTATAATGTTTCACATTATTAAGAAAAATCAATTATATGACTCCAGTCACAGATGTTCAGCAACAAAAACTGATATGTTAATCCACTTTTGCACATAGGGCATATGAATAGGTTCAAGATGGAGTTTAGATGTTAGTCTTCAAAGGCATAGCCAAAAAATTGTGTAATGTAATTAAAAAATACAAAGTGGATGCTAAGATTTGGTTTACTAAAAATAAAAAAAATAAACCGTTTTGATAGTATGATTTAAAAAATGGGTATTTTGTGAATGTGCTTTTCCTTTTCTGCCTTTTTTAAAACCCCTTCTCTCTGTGTGTATATGTATATATATGTGTATATATATATACATATATATGGATTCCATTAGATGCAGATGAACTGGCGCTGACTGTTCAAAGTGACAAGAAAATTTGCACTAAGTGTTATAATTGTGGCATCAAGATAAATAAATTGACAGCAAAATGACAGCAAGAATTGTTTTACTTTTTCACTATATTCTAATCATAATGTAATTAGCAATTATTTTTTAAAGGCTAAAGTTAAAGGACCACACTGGTGTTTCTTGTTTTATCCAATTTTCTACAAATCACATTAAACCACTCTCAGTAAACACATCGTCCATCTTTAGTTTAAAGAATGGGTTAATTTGGTGAGATATCAGAATGCCAAATGTCAGAGGCATTCATAGTTTTTATGGAAAATCAATTCCATAAGAAAAAAATACAAAAAATGATTATTGTGGATTTATTTTCTTGCGCTATGATGATGCTATTGTTCTGAATGCAAATCTAAACAAATCTAAAAACTGCTGTTCACTGGAGTGGATTTTCATATAGAGGTAAATAAAAAAAGAAGAGAAATGTAAAACACCAGAATGACCCTTTAATGACCACGACCTTAGCGAAAACACTTAAGTCCAAACTTGCTGCCCCTAGTAAAACTAGCAATAGGTGCCCAAGAATACATTCAAATCTGCAAGTTAAATTATTTGCATAGAAAGCCTTTCAGTAGCGGTAAAATCAAAGCAACAGGATTTATTAGACTTTTCTAATTCTTTTTAGGTATATGGCTCCGACTAACTACAATAGCAGCTAAAAGAAGAATCTCTGAAGTTAAAACTAAGAACCCCCCCCCCCCAAAAAAAACATGGTAGGCTCAGAATAATCAGGAACATTAAGCCACTGTGTAGCCATGAACTTGTCAGTTCACACGTTCTGGGACAAATCATCTCATCTTGCAAACAGTCACCACTCATGGTTATGTTGTGTAGAGTTCAGATCTAAGCAGGACCACAGATTGCTCTGTGGATTGCTCAGAAGCTATGCTTTATGTTGCATGAAGAATTAGAGTAGTTGCCTCTACTTTTTAGTTTTCTGTCTCCTAAAGTTTAGAAAAACAAGACTTCAACTGTGATACAACAGAAAGTAAAGTAAGTTAGTGAATGGACTGAAAGACACATGATGAACAAATAAATAACCCTGATGAAAATAAGGTCCCATTCAGTTGTGAGGTTACAGTTTGACTAGAAAACATTGGCACACGGTAGCTTAGACTTCTGGGGACTTCTTAAGAAGTCAGACAAGACTCTTAAAAGCTGTCTTTTGTTTCTTTAGAAACTAATTAGTGTACATCCACTGTCTTTTTGGTCTCAAAAAGTTGTATAAATGCCTAAACTTTGATGAGAAAACACTGCATTAATGATTAAAACATATTAAAACTGTCCCCTCTTTACATTAGTTGGTAAAAGCGCTCAAAATCTGCCCTACAACCAATGTGTACTGCTCTTTTTTCCACCATATTCTCAAATGAAGTCATTCCCTCCATTGCTGATGAGCTTCCCTTTCTTCTTGAGTCTCTTTAGCAGACAGGAGGCGATGCCTAAAGCGCCACCCTTCAAAAAGCGAACAAAGTTGTCTCCCACCAGCGGGCCCATGGCAAACAGACCTGGCTCCTTGGTACACTCAAAAGTGTAGGGGTGGATGTCAATGGGGTTCTTCTTGCAGGAGATGGGTTTTGTTGGATCCTGACTCAGGTACTGGCCCTGCCCCTTCAAGAAAAATAAGTTCGGGTTGGTCCCGATAAGCACCAGGACCATGGAGATCTTGAACGCCTTGAGGGAGTTTTTCCCCTGCAGCAAACACTTCATGTCAGACTGGAAGGACACCACGCAGTGTTCGGGGAAACTGGTGTAGTCCGGAAACAGGCTGACATTGGCATTACCAGCCATGTTACCTGAGGCAAGTTGGGGCTTTGGGCACATCTTGGCACATACCGAAGAGGCAATGCTAACTGCCTGTGGTCTGTTAGTAGCAGAGGAGGGAGCCACATTTGTGTAGGCATGAGAGCACATCATGTTGTAAACTTTGTGGTACTCTGGGTACAGGGTCTTGGGCAGCTGTTTGAAGATGAGATCTGGGTCGTCTACGCTCTTACGAAAGGCATGCAGCACTCTAATGTTGCTGTTGCAAGCGCACAGAACTGCATCTGCAGCACTTAAACCAGCACCTACAATTAAAACCGGATCAGAGTTTATATCCAGCTTTCTCCGGCTTACAGCGAGGCCAAGGTCTGAGATACTGTGGAATACAAATGGTAGGTCCTCCCCCTCTACACCTAATCGAATCGGTGAATCGGACGCACCGGTGGCGAGAACTATATTCTCAGCAAACAGAGAGAATGGGACGTGAGTGTCGTTCTGCACCTGCTGGTATCCCCTGACTTCCCAGAGAGCCCCCCCACCTCCATTGTTTACACCCTCAACTCCATTTCCCTCAAAGCCCTCATTCCCACCATCTCCCACCCCTTGATCAGTATGCCCATTTTCCAGACCTTCTCCCTCGTGCCCCCGACAGAGTTTCTGGACGGAGGTCACGTAGGTGTTGTCAACAAAATTCTTTTGCAGGCCCTTTAGCTTCACATAGTTACGGTAATAGGATGAGATCTCCTCTGGAGTGGCTCTGTCACTCGTTACATCCCTAGAGAGAGGAGAGAGATGATGTGGAACATGGTAGCACAGTTAATCATTGGTTTGAGCCATGTCTTTGTCGTCAACCTTGTCCCATGTCTTTACCTGCGTTTCCCATTGGCCAAGTCTCTGTAGTTGACGCCGGGAAGCTCCATCCAGATGCCAAGACTAATAGTCAGCATTGAGCCTTCCATTGCCTGAGGAGGGAAAAGAGGGGTGGAAGAAATATCAGTGTCAAAAAAGGACCAAAACAAAAGGATTGACAGAAATTTGGATAGTATAAGAGTGTAGAAGACTAAACCTTGAAGCTTACATGCCAAGCACCTCCAGGTGTTGCCCTCCCCAGCACCAGATGTGGGATGTGTTGCTGCTTGTCCCTCCTCCACTGAAGGACAGGGGGGAACTCGTAGCCAAAATCAGCATTGGGGTGCAGCAGTGTGTCAAAAAGCACAGCCACTGGATTCCTTGATCTCCCCTCAAGACCTTCACTCAAATATTCCAGATCCTGTAGGAAAATATCCCTTTCATGACATACATGAGTATGTGAACATGGCCATGTTTACACATGCAAGCAATTTGTAGAAGGTTTTACCTGTTCAGTGATGGGTAGGTGCTTGGTCTCCTGCAGCTTCCTGTACAGTATTGGGTTTGGGTGGACAGTTGCCGTATCTAGGTAGGGCTTGTATCCGCTCAGCAGGTAGGACAGACAAATACCTGATGGCCCGTTGCCTGAAAAAAAGACCCAGGTTTCGGAAATGGTGGATTAGCATCACATCGGGAAACACAGCATTATGTGATACGAGAAAGAGCGAGAAAAGATCTAAATTGTGGACCACGGGCCTAGTCACAGTGTGTAACCATTAAAGCTCAGGAGGTTAACGGCAAAGTTTACCTATGATGACCACGGGAACAGTAGATGGGTGGTCTTGTGGCAGAGTGGTCTCTTCCAGAAGAGGCATGGCTGCAGCCTGGGCCAGAGCCAGCACTAAGGAAGAACAAAACAATAGAGATATGAAGAAAGTTCCAGACGTTTCTGTAACCATCAATTTGATATTCAGCTGAAAAGCAGAGCTACATATTTTTGTGTCAGATTATTTGAACAGGTTCAAACCGGCTTGCTGTTTTTGTGGCTACTAGTGTTGTTGTTGTCTCATGTTAGCTTAGATCCTGTCTCCATCCACCACCATCAGCTGACTCAGAAACACAGGCATTGATGGGGGAAAAAAACCTTTATTCATCCTGTTATTGTGCTTCCACATACAGCCATGACCCTCCCTGTCTGTCCGGGGCTTCACACACGTGGAAACACCGCCACAACACAACGTACCCTCAGCTTTTCTCTTTGCCATCCCGCCAACGTTCACACACCCCTTGTCCTATCAAACATGGCCCGCGGCGAGACTAGCCTCTGTTAACCCTGGTACCGCTTCCCAAACAAAAGGGAGTTCTCATCAGATTTATGTAGGCTTGGGTCTGTTGTGAAATGTTGCCGGTGAGCATGTGTAGTGTGTGTTTGTGTGTTACGCGACAGTGCCATTGTGTGCCCGCCGGGCAGCAAATCCCCCCTGATCACTCCTCCGAGTGGGCTCTAATCCCACTGGGCCTGTTTATGTCTTTACCACCCCTTTCAACAGCAGCAGGATGAGAATGTGGTCCTGGCATGCTGACAGACCAAACCATCAGAGCTCCTCCTCCCCTTCATACCCACCACACACACACACACACACACACACACACACACTCCCGCCAAAACATTACCCACAGCAAGCAGTGTCCACTTGCCCCAGTTTCATACTAACCAAAACATGGCCCACACTGCTTTTGTCTTGTATCCCCAAACTCTGGCTCACTTCCCTTAAAACTCCCATGTCCCCCTGCTGCCAGTACAGTCCGCCTCATTTCATGTACACCCCTCTCGCCCTCCCTCCCCCTGTCTGACCTGTGTCTGTGAGCCAACCGGTTGTCTTTGGTCGTTGGCTTGTTTACCCTTTTCAATGAAAGCACTGGGATTCCACACATTGGCTGCCCTGTTTGGTGAATGTCGTGCCCCCAGTTGGCAGGTTGATACTGGTATTTCCATGCCACTGCTCAATTTGACAAACCCCACCGTGTTTACGGTCCTAAAAGTTGATTTTGCTAGAACTTTCGGACCAAAATGAGTCTCTTACTGTAGGTGGATTTCAGGGGACCCCAACTAATTCACAAAGATTTATTCTAATTTCAGATTATAGTCTTGTGTTTTCAACCTTTTCTACCAATAAAATAAATAACATTTCAAATTATATTATAAAGTTTTGCCATATGGTTGACAGAACAGCAGTACATAGGCCTACTGTAGATCGATAAGGAAGTTCATTCTTGACTTTAACAGTATGTATGACAAAACCTCTCAGTTTAAAGATGGAGCTTTCAATTATGTGTGAGGTTAGCAAAATTATTAGATTAAACACACAGCAGGATGTAGTGTTTATTTGCAATGGTTAGGTTGTTAGCCAGTCCCCTGAACATGCAAACTTATTCCTCCAGCTCTTATCAATCAGCCTGAGTAGAATTATTATTGAGCATCTACACTTGTTTAACAAAGTTTTACATTTTTGAGAGCATGGTGGCAAATGCAAGAGTAAATAATGTGGATAAATCTGTGAGCTTTATACTGTATATTTTGAGATTTAACACAAATTAATTAAATACCAATGTGAAAACAGTTACACAGATCATCCAAACTGCTTAACCTTAGAGGAAAAGCCTGAATATGCTTAAAATTCTGTGAAACATTGAGAGTAAAACACATAAAATCCACAGCCAAAATGTAATCATAATAGAAATGCCCAAACCCAGGCATTTGGTCTAGTTTTAGACTTAATTTGTGGTTCATTGTAGGTCCTGTCCTCTGCCCTTTCATGCACCAGCATGTGCGCTTTTTGCAGCATGTGTCGAGAGGACGGAGCATACTTTTCTAGAACATGGTGTACCGAGTATTGTGGGCTAAATATGGCTTTTTATGTGCATTGTGGTCAATAAAATAACAATGAACATTTTGAATTCACCAGCCGATGTAAAATTTATTTGGAAACACTGCTTGATAATATAAATGCGTTTCAAGCTGGGTTTTCTCATTTTTTTCTGACTCAGTCTCTGTTTGAAAGGTGCGTTTGGTTTTCACAAGCCTACAACTACTACAGCCTCATCCTTGCAACTTGTGCAGCCTGCAGGTCAGTTACAAAATGAACTTGAAACCAGATCTAGATTGGTTACAGTATATGTACGGATGTTGCTGCAGAACAGGCAACACTGAAACGAGCTGAATGATGTAGCAGTGAGTTTCCCCACCATACACACCATCCTCATGTACCCACACAGGCTCAAACCTCCCACTACACTCCCGACTCCCGAGCAGCTGTCCTTGCAACCTGCGTCCAATAAGGCACAAGGAGCACATGCGACAACGGCTATGTCACCATCATTGCATAATTTAGGTCAAACACACACTCACGGGCATCCGCAACACTCCGCACCAAGAACAGGATCTCTTACCGCGCTGTGATTTATCTCTCTATCCCCCAGTCGCGTCCTGTTATCACGACCCACGGCTGCATCTCCAACCGTATAAATAGGCAGACACCAGTGGGAGGACCTATGCAACTGTCCGGGTCTTGCATGAGATAAGCCAGCCTCTCTCGTCATCACACACACACACACTCTCTCTCACTTACCTCCGTGCAGTAAAATCCGAGCAGACCTGGTGTATTCAGGTCTGATCAGCCTGTAAATGTCGGCTGAGCGTTAAATCTTCTCTGTGTCTTGTTGGCAGTATGTGTCTGTGTGTGAGAGAGAGAGAGGGAGAGTGAGAGAGAGGGAGAGAGAGAAACCGGGTCCAGCGTTTGCTTTTGTCGTCACATGCGCATCTCACTGTGCACCGGCAGGCGTGAGCGCGCTCACGGAGAGAGGAGAGAGACGGAAGATCCGAGCATCCTTCAGCATCCTCCAGCATCCTCCCAGCGGCAGACACTCTGCTGCTGCTGCTGCTGCTCATAAACCGACTTCTATCCCCAAGAAATGCATTGCCAAAATGTTAGTTGTGCTAAGGACATCTCAGTATTGTGTCTGCTCTTACTGAATTAAATGGAACTCTGATATCCAGATAACCCAGATATTTATAAGGCTGCAACCAATAATAAAAGTGTTGGAGCCAGACCACTAATTTACTGGGGCCAATATTGCTATTTTAGTGTTGTGCTGTTGTGTTTGAAAAAGTTCCTGCGATTATGTTGCTAGAGTGTTGTGTCCCACACAGAGCAGCTGCAACAGCCATGGTAACAATGACTGACTGAAGAGGTGAGAAAAAAGTATGAAATACAGTCCTTGGGTGAGGTGTCTGTTACAAAGACTGTATAAAAGTATGGCCCAAGAATATAAGTTGCATAAAAACAGTGTGGAAATAATCTCCCACAAATGTAAGTTGTGTATTCAAAGATTTACTTTTATAAAAGTACAAAAATGTCATCATTGAAATATATTTGAAGCATGAGTAAAAGTAGGCCTTCTCATTATACAGTTTTTAACAATAATATATTATTGTATTATAATTATTAATGATATCACTTCAGTGTTGCAGCTGGCAAAGGTGGGGCTCATTTTAAATACTTAAAATACTGCTGGGTTGTTAAATCTATATTAATACATCATGTTTTATTTGTTGACGTTTTGCATTAATAATCTGAATTAACTAGTTACACAAGCTATCAATTAAATGTAGTGGAGTAAAATTTGTATAAAATGGAAATACTAAAGTAAAGTACAAGCACCCGAAAACTACAATATTTTCTGTCGTTACTGTTTTTGTTATAAGCAGGAAAGAAGGAGTAGCCTATATCTGCACCAGCATGTGAATACATGTTTTGTCCTGGACTGGCGCAGCACGTTCAATCCATATGTCTAAGTTCAGTCCCACAGAGTCCCGCCTCTCTGTGTCATGATCCAATGAGCTGAAAGAAACAAAATATCACTTCCTGTCCTGCACACAAACGCGTGCCTGCTAGCCGCTACTTCAGTCAACAACACGAAAAGTGGCAATAAACGCCACTGGAGATGGTCCAGTTCAGTAGAGCCTGCCTCAGGAAGGTAAGCACTGAAGCAGACCAGATATTAATGTCGTGAAAACAACTTCATCGACAGCAACGGTTCACTTACATCTCTAATCGTGACATTAGTTAGAAGCTAACTGGCTAACTAGCTTCAAAACATCAACAACTCGGTCTGTGGTCTCTGCAAATATTAAGCCTTTTATGAACATTTATTCTTATTACGATGCGAGTTATCTGTGACTGAACCGTATCAGAATTAAAACAATAGAAGAAATACCTAAATCAAAACAATCCATGTAAATCTAACCTTAATTTTGAAATTGTAGTGGTCGCCTGTCATTTTATGGTGCTTACCTAGGTTGAATACCATGTCTGCATTAAATGCAATGTTGGTATTAAATCTAGGCGCGCATGAGCTCCCTTCAAAGGTGCTCTTGTTAAAAACATCATGTATTCCACTGAGTTGTAGTTGTATGGCTGTACTCCTCAGAGATAACCAGCCCTTCAGTACAGACCCAAAACAATGCTACCTAACAACTCTCACAACTACTACCTTGATCTAGGAGATGTTATTCACAATACAAACAATACCAATCTAGCTTTACTCAGAAATAGAAAGAAAAAACGTTCTCTTTCTCCCTTTACTCTCACCAAATTTAAGGAGTTTGTAAAAATAAAAATATGTCTCTCTGCTCCAGACTTGACTCTCATGTGCCGTTGACCTTAAAGGTACTTGGATCAGTCTCTTTTCTGCCTCTTTGCAGTTTGGAAACTTGGTGGACAATCTCCGTCTGTATGTCCGTGGAGGCAGCGGCGGCATGGGTTTACCCCGTCTTGGGGGACAGGGAGGGAACGGTGGAGATGTTTGGGTGGTGGCGAAAAAGGACGTGACCTTGAAGAGGATCAAGGACAAGTATCCACAGAAACGTTTTGTAGGTGGAGCAGGAGCCAACAGCCGGTCAGTTTCTCTAAATCCAACCTTGAGTTTTCTTTCAAGTGCCAAGTCTGAACTTAAGTTGACATAAATTTGATTTATATTTCTCAGACATGTTGTATAACAGATGCTATTTATTGTGTCCGTGAATTTTATTTATTTATCAACAGTGTCCGATCACTGAGAGGAGAGAGGGGGGAGGACAAACAAATCTTTGCTCCTGTTGGTATCACGGTCACCACTGATGATGGCAGAATACTTGGTAATATAAAATATGACACACCACTTATTGTTGGTCAAACATTTGTAAAATCCTTCTAAAGAAAGATGTTAAATTTGACATAAAAAGTAATAATGCACAAGAAAGTTTTTGATTCGGAGGTGAAGTACAGCATTTGTGTCAGAAAACATGACAAGGCAATGATCAGGGGATGGAAAAGCCAAATGAACAGTAAAAATTCTCCCTCCAAGGGGACCTGAATGCTGAAGGTGATCGTGTGATTGTGGCAAAAGGCGGACCTGGAGGCTCCCGCTACACTGCGTTTGAGCCCAGTAAGGGCCAGGTCAAACACATCCGGCTGGACCTCAAACTTATCGCTGACATGGGTCTTGTTGGGTGAGAGCAGAAACACACATGAAGGTATTGGTTCATTTCAGCTGAGGCTCAAATTGGCTTTAAGTTCCTTTTGAAATTCTGATTTCCAGGTTCCCAAATGCTGGGAAGTCCTCTCTCCTGACAGCCATCTCTAACGCCACACCTCAGATCGCCAGCTACTCTTGTATGTAGATAATGATACATGTCTGTTTACTGTGTTTGTGCCATTTCTAAGTTCTTCTTTATTTCACAGTCACAACTTTGAAGCCGGAGATTGGCAAACTGATGTATAAAGATTACAAACAGGTATGGGACATGCTTTTTAGTGTTTGGTGGATTGTACTTTAATTGTCCATTAAACTGGTTTCTCTCCTTTGCATCATTTGTTTCTTCTCAGTAGATCTCTGTCGCTGACCTCCCAGGCCTGATAGAGGGAGCTCACATAAACAAAGGCATGGGCCACAAGTTCCTAAAGCATGTGGAGAGGACCAGGCAGCTGCTGTTTGTGGTGAGTAGAGACAAAAAGTACATGAGCCGACACCTTCATATAATGAATTTGAATGTGGTTAATCTAGTTAAAAAATTGCAGGCTGTGATGATGATTATGGACTCTTGTTTGTGTTCGACTGGCTGCAGGTAGATGTTTGTGGTTTCCAGCTGGCTAGTCAAACACCGTTCAGGTCAGCCTTTGAAACTGTGCAGCTTCTCACCAAGGTAAGACTGATACTATAAATCAACTTGTGTTTCTAATATAATGTATACTCTTCTCACTGACTTTAATCCTCACCCATCTGCTCATGTGTACCATTTATTTACCTCCATCTTTTTTCATCATCCTCCTGTCTCCGCACTCGCTCAAGGAGCTGGAGTTGTACAAAGAGGAGCTTGTGTCGAAGCCTGCTCTGCTGGTGGTGAATAAGATGGACCTGCCTGACGCTGAGGACAAACTACAAGAGCTGAAGGAGCATCTACAAAACCCAGATCGTAAATCATTTTTTTGGTTTTATTCATTAGCTTTCTAATTTACAAATTCATGATGCAAATGAAATTATACCTTTAAAGATGGACTTCTCTTTTGCACTAATCGCATCTCTAAACCTCATGAATCCAGGTCTGCAGACTGTTTACAGCTGCAAAAACCTTTTCAGTGGATTTGAACTATGATTCATGCTACTAAAGACATGTGGCATTTTGTAGTTACAGGTTAAGTGTCAAATTCAGGAGTTAAGAATGTAAATCAGCAGTAAATGTAAAAGGAAAATTTTGTGTTATAAATATTTTTGCTCAAAACATCTGCAGGTACTATAGCAATTACATTTTTATCACCATTTTGAACACAGCAGCAGTTCAATTTTAAGTTCCTGGGCAGCTTGTTTTCTAAAAAAAAAAAAAAAGTGCATATGTTTTTTCCACAGACAAAAACTAAATTCACTTACCAGATGGAAAAACTGCCACATAGCGATATTGCACTTCTTATTTGATTCTTTAAAGTCTGAATAAATTAGTTATGCAAGTTCAGACAAACTATAGCAAATCTCCCCTTAAACATTTAACAATTTATGAAATACCCAATTATAAAACACAGAAAAAGGTTGCATTGGAAAATTTGTATTAAATGCTAACATCTATCCCATCTCAATATTTTGAAGATGATTATTTCAAAATTTGATTATTTCCCCTCTCGCAGAGTTCTCTGATCTGTTGCCTGACATGATACCGAAGAAGTACATGACCTTCAAACATGTGGTTCCCGTCTCTGCCACCACTGGGTTTGGTATTGACCATTTGAAAAGCTGCATCCGAGAGTCGCTTGATGAAGATGCAGCCATGGAAACCAAAGCCATCCATCAAGAAAGACTGCAGGCACTGAGGTACCCCTCACATGAGCATTTGTGACAAACATGGACAACATCTCAGATTTCGGGCGACCTACAGTGTATGACGACAGTTGAGTCTTATTCTGTCTGTTTCAAACTGGAGAAGTACAACTTTTTTGTGCAGTGCAGGTAAACATCAGAAACCCTGCAGTTTCAGTGCACTTTAGGATGATGTTTGACTTTCTTATTGACCATCACAGTCAAAGCAGTGTTAAATATAAGTGTTAAAAGGCTGCGCAAGGTGAGTCGCTTGTGTGATCTCAGTCACTGTTGATAAGGTCCGTCTTTATTCAGAAATTATCCTGTTGTAACGTATTTAGGCAGAGATTTGTATGCCTATCCATAAAAGGATGTTGGTCAGGTAAAGGCAAATGCAGCACCAGCTTTACCTCCAGATACAAATGATAAAGGGTCATCAGCAAAAGAGAGGAGAGGTGCATTTGTACCAACCAGTTATTTTCTGTTTCATCTGATGCAAGATTGTATTTATTTTCTATTGGTGTGTTATAAGATGCTCTGATCCAATACCAGTTGTCTTTCCCAAATTAAAAATCTGTATATCTTTAGAATTTGTTGGGATCATTTTTAATGCACTTTAACATGAAGCCAGGGATGTGGCAGTAAAAAGTCTGCAGCCTTCCATGACAAACTGAATCATGGTAGAAACACTCATTTTATAATGACAGCAGCAAAGATACTGTTTAATGTGGATCAGTCATATCTGGCTGATTCTTGATCTACTAAATGAGGTTAGTTTTGGATCAGTGCATCACAGGAGTGTTTCAATACAAATAAATGGAGTCAATTTTCAACTATACATGTAGTGTTTCTTTTCCTCTACCAGTTAGAGTAAGATCTGAAGCTATTCAAATGACAGCATAGACTGTTGTGTTGATGAAAGTTTTATTTTATATTAAATATATTACAATACTGAATGATTAAGAGGGGGGAAAAAAATATGGGGATTGATTTTTGCATCATGAGTCTGTACAGCATACAGGCAAAATGAAAAAATTAAAATTAAAAAAAGACAGCAACTGCAGTATTCAGATTTGAACTCGTACATGTGGGGTTTTTAAGATTCCTGGAGCAGAGAGCTGATGCATCTGGCAGGATGGGACCACATGGTTAAGACTGGGTGGTTGGTGTGCTCCAGTACACGAATACATTCAAGTCTCTGGCCAGAGAGAGAGACAGCTCATCTGTGGGGACGTTTGCCAGAGTTGCCCTGGTAGGATTGGTCAGTTCACCTATGTATGCAGGCGGATATGTTCGCAGGAAAATTGACAGCTGTACAACCACAGAAATGACTGCAGCCTGCACCGTCCTCAGGGTGTCAATGCAATGTCCATGACACCAGGACAAATGTCTTGCTGTAGCAAAGTATTATGATGTTTAAAAAAAAAATTACTCAAGAGCTCTGAGATAATGTGCTCCACTGGATACTGACCATTACTTTAAGAAGACCAGAGCAGAGAAGAAAGCTCTGGATGAAGGCAAATTATGAGCCTGTTCACATCTCATTTACATCTGTGTCCAAAACCTATATATGATACAGATCAGCACATGCCAGAGGAACAAATGTGTTAAAAAAAAAAAAAAAAAAAAAAAAAAAAACCTCATGTCTCCATTCAAACTCATCAACACACATAATTACAATAATGCACTTAATTACTGTTTGAATAGTTGCTGTACATAATGCTGAGAAAAAAGTGAACATTACAAAGGTACTTAATAAAAAAGATACTAGTAGCAATATTAGTCCAGTATTGTGACGGTCATATTACCTATACAGTCCTAATGCATACATGAAATACAAATGAACAAGTGCCCACACCGGAACAAAAACTCATCAACAGTAAAATGACAAACGAGAGGCCTTAAGACAAAAGTTTGAGTTGTAACTGTACAAAGAACTTGCTTTTGGGGAGCGACATGGGCTTCGTTTCCAGAAAAATCCACCTTAACTAGCTACACTGGCGTGACAAAATCTCCATTCTCAATCATATTTAAACCTTGTGACTTCCTGCCATGAAATGTCCTGACTTTGTTCAGACAGTGTAGTCTGTGGCAAACAAACCAATTAAGACAACAGCAATAGGCAATGAGGGGAAAAAGTCTTTCAGCGACATGCTCCTTTCCCGTTATGGTCTCACAAATAGCCTACCAGAGAAATAACTTAATTTGATATAGAACTGTCATGCTGTTGGTCTTCACAAGCTCAAACAGCAAGCACTGTACAGCATAGTAAATCATTTACAAGGCTAAATATCTCAATCATCACAGCTAAATCCAAAATGCACATTTAATCACAGTTCCCAGATTTGGGACGAGTAAGGTTATCAGCCACACTCTCGACTTCTTACCGACTTCACGTACTCTCATCACAAAAGTGGGAGCACATTGGTCTCACACTTCCAAATATCCAAACTCAATACATCTTAACATTATCAATGGGGAAATTTCCAAAAACCACATGAGTGAAAAGTGGCACATCTATAACTACACCAAACACTTCTCAGTCCATTCATTTCACACAGGCATGGAACATAAAACTATTTAAACTTTGCTAAATCAATACCACCCCAGTAACATTCTTACTGTGCCACAATCAACATCTTTGTTAATACTTCCTCAGTCATTACTTCATGTCTGTGTATTTCTCCCAGAGATGGATCAAGCCAGTGCTAATATAAAAAAAAAGAAAAAACACTTTTACATTCTGCTGTGGATGGAGAAAGCTATAGAGGTCACAGTCACACAGGAAGAAAAAAATGAAGATGAAAAGTAGAAACACGGACAGAAGAACAAATGCGGGGTCTCTACACTCATCTACAGAGATCCACTTCTGTCTACAACACAATACAGCAGGAAGAAGAATCTTGTCCTCTTTCAAAATAAAAGCAAAAACATACTCTGTGTATTTTACTGTACATATTTACACACGCACAAACAAACCGAGGGGAGGAAGAGCAGGTCGGATCCATGTCATGGGTTATAACTGGTGATACAATATGAGTTACCTATAGTGGAGAGAAAGCATCTAAGCCTACAGAAGGTATAAAATCACTGCCCCCTTGCATGCTTTCATTTCAGATCAGTCCTTCTTGTCTTTTCCGTGGGAGGAGGTTGCTGATAAACAAGGTTTTCTCATGCATACAGTGTTGGAGTTTCTACAGTGATTCACGTGCGTCAAAATGATCCGACAAATCCAGCGTGATACGATGACCTGCTCCTGGCTCTCCGCTACCCCTTTTAAGAAAAGGAGCCCAAACAACTCAGGGGACAGTGGTGTTGAAGTGAGTGTGACGAGAGCCGAGCTAAGGATACGTTGAGGTTTCAAGGACAGGTATGGGGGTGGGGGTTGGGGTTTCCAGTCCCATAGGTGATGCCTGAGCAGACAGGAACAGCTCAGTCTGAGCTCCAGCTGGTCTGGAGTGGATGTGGAGCTGGGATCTCTGCTGGCGCTCTGCATCGTCCTGTAGAGATCCACTGAATGTCTGGCTTGAAAGCCTCGGAGATGCTTGTACACACTAACTCACACACACACCTCTGCCTATTTCCACTCCAGTGGGGGGCTCTCTCGCTTTCTCTTTAGTTGCTTAGAGTCAATTTTGTTTCATTGTTGTGTTTTTCATTCATAGAAAAGGAGAGACAAGTGTAGTTCCTTGAGGTCTTTTGCAGAGTGGGTAAAACAGCTGTTATATTGAAGTCTCCCACAGCTGAAGGGACAAAAAGAGGTAGGAGAAAAGAGCAGAAAAGAGAAAGAATAGACATTTTAAAATTTGCCAGATGTCACTGATGGCCAGTCACCTCCCTTCCTATTTATGTAGATTTGGTTCTGTCTTTGTACTTAAAGGACTGGGCTGGTCTTATAAGCACAAATAGCACCAGCCTTATCCTTTAAATTATGATCCTCATTAGAAAATATTTCCATGCCCTTCTGTATTCATAGTTTTGACTTTGTAAAGATGTGAACACAACCCAAGACTAACCATGTATAAAGATATTTAACCACTGACTTATATAACAACTGAGATCAAAGTGTAAAACTGGGCTCAGACATATCAGCCTGATAATGGCCAACCTAACTGCACAGACGAGGAGCGCTGGGAATGAAAATGAGCATCGGGAGCAACAGTTGCTGGTTTTTATCATGTTTAGTGTGTCATAGAAGCACATAACACATCTTCACCATCTGCAAAGTTTCCGCTTTCTTTTATGAAACCATGCTAACACACGAACATTAACTGTTGGTGATGTCAGGTGAACAGTGAAATTAGTCTCTGGCATGTACAGATCACCTACTGTACACGCACACGTCATGAAAAGTGTGCCAATTTTCTTGGACAAGTCATAGGAAGAATTTTATACCTATAAATCACCTGATCGGAAACAGTGACTGAAAAAACAAATATCCCATTACTAGAAAAATCAAGGAGGAAATTTAAATTGTCAGCTCCAGCAGGGCCAAAAGCCACTGTGTACATTAAGATACTCAGCGTCCATAATGACCTGCTCTTTTTTGTGCCAACTAGTGCAGAATCTCTATTGTACTGAAAATCAGTCATTGTGACTAAATCAGTGTTATAATGTGGTTTTAAATTACACAATGTGTTCCTGATTGATACTTGCCCTGGCGCTCTGCCTGTTGGCTTTCCTCTGGTCATCGGGGAGAGGGGGCATGGGGTACGGGTATTTTCTGCTGGATGCAATTGATCCTGTAGAGGAAGTGGGAGACTTGGCAGGGGATAGCGTCCTGAGGAAAAAGAGGAAGTGAAATTATTAAAATATTGCCTCTTCTTTTCTAATTGGTGTAGGATTAAGTTGGCCAAAGACACAGATGGATAAATGAGGTTAGACTGAGGAAGTTGAGCTAATGTTAGATCTGTGACTTTGGGCAACATCCTCCTTGGGCTGCTCTAATTATTCAGTGTTCACCTTCCTGCAGAGAGAGAGGTTGCTCTTAAAAGCTGTTATTGCTGCTCCCCCAAAAAGCACAGACAGTTCAGTTATTCTGTTAAAAAATAAGACCCTAGCTCAGCTTTTAGGGGCAACCTCTGTACACAGTATGTACTTCTTTACACAGCAGTACACAGTACCCAGCAGCGGTGTGGACAAAGTCATAGATTCCTGCCACTTACATGCTTCACTGTGCAGCAGCATTATTTTTCATCATCCTGCACTGACACACAAAACGGCCAGAATTTGCAGAAACATACCTTTAGCCTCAGTGGAAAAAAAGCATGCTGCTAAAGGTAACCTCTGCTGTCAGCTGAGCCTGTGTGCAGTCTTGAAAAGTCGGATCGGCGAGTGTGTTTAAGTGATGAATGCTGGGAGCAGTGAGTATGATGAGGTGACTGGGACGGCAGACCACACCGGAGCTGGGTGAGAACAACAGACTGAGAGATTCAGAGAGGTCCTGTCCAGTGAAACAGACATGGAAAGCCTGCCCCATGTGCAGTAGCTTATTTACACCACTACTGTGTGTGGTGATCAGAAATACCTGCACTGGTCAAAGTAGTGGAGAGAGTGGAGAAGTCAGATGAAGGGCCAGTTCCAGACGTACTTGTAATACAAGCCTTAACAGCAACATCTCCTGTATTATGAAGCAATTCTGTAAAGTTATGTTGTGTACATTATACTTTTAAAATAAAGCTTTTACTTAGTTTGCTGTGCTGAAAGGCTCCAAATACTACAGACCCAGAGCTTCTTTGGCAAGTACTATGGAGAAAATGCCATATAAACCCACCATATTATTACAATTTATTATGTTGTTGCACTCAGGAACAAAA